CCTGGAAACATTCAAGGCCAGGTTGGACGGGGCTCTGAGCAACCTGATCTAGTTGAACATGTCCCTGCTCCTTGCAGGGGGGTTGGGACTAGATGACGTCTGAAGGTCCCTTCCAACCCAAAACATTCTATGATTCTATGACATCACTGCTTTTCTCTCTTCAACCACAGTTCAAGTCTTTCCATCACAGCAGACAGTCTGTTTGACAACTACCTTTAGTAAATCCATGCCTGCTAATCCTAATTACTGTTTTCACCTTCATATGCCTAGAAATGGCTTCCAAGTAGACTTGCTCCACAATTTTTCAGGGACTGAAATGCAGCAGACCAGCCCGCAGTTCCCCAAATCAACCTTCCTGCCCTTCCTGAAGATGGCTGCAACATCTTTCTCCAGTGACTAAGGCCCACCCCAATCTCTACAACTGTTCAAAGAGAAAGCTGACTTGCAATGACATTAGTTAGTGCTCTCAGCACCCTCAGAAGCATCCCATCTAATCCCATGAACTCAATATTTCTCAACAGATTCATCAATCTTCTTGTACTAGCTTCTCTCCTCCTTCAATCCCATCTCCAGGCAAAGGCCCATGAGACCTTAACTGTGAAGATCAATGCAGAAAAGGCACTGAGAATCTCAGCCTCATCTGCATCCATGGGCACTAATTTCTCTCCTCACCCTTCCCACCAGAGCTCAGTCAAGTTCCCTGTTTGGCAAATCCAGTCTCTTGACACATCTGTTCATTTTCATAACTACTGGGATGGATTGTTACTGGGCTTAGAGAAAGCTGTCCTGAGAGATTTCCTGGCTTTCAGAGGACACAGTTCAGAAGGCCAGAGGAGTCCTGCTTGCAGACAAGCTCCAACTGAAAGAGTCAGCTACATTTTCACATAGCAGCAACTGAACCACATGATCCACAAGTTAGTCTGTATGCTGAAGCATACAGACTAACTGAAACAGGAAATAGATTTTGGTAACTCCGTACAATCAGACAAATGGATGGGTTTATTAACTACAGCTGAGCTAGATATGGCTCAACAAAAAGCTGCTTGGGTATTTCCTTACCAGGCACCAGGATTCTAGGACCTCATAAAGATAAGCCATTGTAAAACCTGTGACAGGAAGGTGCAGGAAGTTGACGAGTCCCAAAGAAGTGCCAAGAGGATCAGCAGGTCTAGGGCTGTGCATGCAGCTCAAATCTGGCTGAACAAAAGCTAGCTGCATTAAATCCCTTGGCTATGTCTGCATTACGCTTCCCACATTGTCCTACAGCACCTCTGTTACTTGTATTTTCCCATTATAGTGTTTATGCAGCATGATATCTGGACAGAAGTCAGGGTATTTTCTAAAGTTTGTTACCTAAAAGAAAACAATTCCATATAGTTGAATACAGTACATTAGTTTCAGTAGGTTGGTTGGACTGCAAAAAGTGCCACAAGGAAAGAAGAGCACCTAAATTGACAGGTTACAATTCAAACAAAAACTTTGAGGCATCAACATCTAAAATAAATTGCCTGTACCCAACCTAATGCCAAAAATAATTACACTAAGTTTCAATAACTGACAGAACTAAAGCAGTGAAGATTCAAGAGACAGCTAGCAATCAAAACCAGTGCGACAGCAAGAACTATTCCTTTTTTTTTTAAAGCACTGTATCCTGGAAGACTGATGTACTTGACTACACCTAACACAGAAAAAGCTTATGGATCCTGAGCCCAGCATTGAGAGATGAATAACTGAGCAGACTCTGGAAAAGCTTCTTATGAAAGGAAGCAACGATGCAGGCATTTGGAGCCTATGAAATCATTAGGCAGAAATGGCTTTGGGCAATTTCAAGGCCAGTGCTGGACTACAAATTATCTTGTTTGGAGCTAGTTGGTACTGCCAGATTGAAAAAAAACCTTCAGTTAAAACTGAATTAGTAATTAAGCAGATGTGAGCATCAAGAAAAGGAAAAAGCTAAGGATACAAAAAAAACCAACAAAAAAGCATACGCTTATGCTGCTGAACAAGTAGCTGTCATATTCCCACCCATAGCTAGCTAAAAGAGTCCTCTGTTTCAAACACAGAATTTAACCCAATCAGAAACATTACTGGAGGTTGAGTAAAATTGTTAAATGCAAACATTTAGTGGAGACTCCTCTGCTGACTGACAGCATGCTTGAACATACTCAAAACAGCCTACGTATAAACTCACTGAAGGAGGATAGTAAAGAGGTAATAAGCTATACCGACAGGGGAGGGGAGGGTGGGATGGATAACAGAAAAAATAATCAAGTGACTGGTTCTTTGAGATTTATGTTTAGGGTTTCATCTATGTAGGAAGAGAAAGGATAAGGAATTTCCTTAAACTCTTTGAGGAATGCAGAACTATCTCCAAGACAAAATGCTCCATGACTGTTTTAATCTCCTCAGATATGAAGATCCTGAGGTCACACTACTGCAATTAACTGGATTAAGGCCAACAACTCTGTGAAGCTCCAGAATTGCTGGAAGCTGTTGATATAGAAGAAAAGAACACCTCAGTGCAGTAGCTGTAAATTATGAAATTGCACACTCAATCATCATACTGCAAAGTAGTAACAGCAGCATCAACAATATCAGGAGTTGGTACAGATCAGACATGCATAGAAAGCAGTATGTTGACAATGGGCACCATTTCAAACACATACATTCTAGAACTCTTAAAAATAGTAACTCAGAACAAATAAGAAGTCCTTGAACTTGGAAAGGTTTGTGAACCAAAAAAACTTAAGACTTGAGAACTTTTAAAAATTCCAGGTGAAGTGGAACCAATCACATCTTTATCAAACATGGTGAAACACATTTTCCAGAACTCGGAAACCTCTTTGGGAGAGTCTTCCAGCACATCACAGTCCCCCCAACCCCAGGTTCTTCTACGAGGCAAATCAAGCCCGTTATCTGTAGGCATTATTCATACAAAAGCTTCAATGGTAAAAAAATAAATGAAACAACATGCATACCACCTACATAGTAAAGATAAATATTTCATCTGCTTGGAGAGAGTTACTGAAGTACCTACTGTTCCATACCAGAGGGTGGTAAGAGGCAAGACTTTAAGAAAACTTTTGAGGGCTGGAAGTTACAATACACATCATATATGCTGACAGGAGAGAGGGGTGAGCAAACTCAAAGGAGGACCTTTTGTATCACCTCATCCAAACTAGGACATTAACACAAGCCTATCCACTTAAAAAAAATCATATTGATACGAAGCAAGAAAGAATATGCATTTTGGTGCTGATTTTACTAGCACATTCTTAATTTGAGGTACTTTAGTAGTCCTACTGTGACTTCACAGGAATTTTCATGTTTGTGTTTTTGATGCAAGACTTTTTTTTTTTAA